TAGGCATTTATTAGTTTATTACTGAAAACTGTTTGAAGCTATAATGTTACATAAACAGAACTTTCCCTATTTAACTTCCTGTTTTCATCTGGCTCTGTGTGAAAGACTGTAACATGTAATCTGTAACACTAGAGGGTGCCTAATCACTGTCCACACATTTCCAGATTGACATCAAATACTCCATGACTACAATAGAAGTGATTTAGAGATTTAAATTCAGACATTTTACAATAGCTGTAATTAAAAAAAAATCCTCAAAACTCCCCAAGACATAAAACTTCAGTTCTAGCTCATTTTTTTATTATTATATGAATTTGTGTTGAATCACCCTCATGGGTGGATCACAGATTACTTATTTAATTCTTCCTCCATTAAGATTGAAAAAATAATGCACAACGAAAAATAATACACTGTAAGTCAAAATCTACTGATCACATTTTCTGGACAGTGCATGTCTTTATACCTGCTTGTTTGCACCTTATCAGTCCCCTACAGATACTCAACTCATCCAACATGGAGCAACACTTTTGTCACTGCGGCGGGTCTTTCACAACTTACCATGGCCTGAGAGTTCACCAGGGAAGGATGGGCTGCACACCAAAGGGAATGAGGATCCCTGAAAGTGGGCAATCTAGTTTCCATCCTATGCCGGCCTTTATGGGATCTCTAATCAGACGAGAGCCTTCGATGGGCATGTGTATGAGTCTGGATTATAGTGAGTCTACCAATGTGTTTGTACAGTGGTCAGTTTGTGTTGCTACAGGGTCGGGGTGTGACTATCTAACTAAAACTCACTGGTTTACAGTGATAATCTATTTTCATGTTTTAGATAATTACTTTTTTTAGAATATTTGCCCCATATTTGTCAAACTTACATCAATTAAATCTACAGTTTCATCAAACATGATTTCTTTTTTGCCATCTCCTATGATATTTAATATGTACTATGGCTTGGTTTTTACAGTTTCTGCACTGAAAAAACAAAGACAAAAACACATAGCTGATAACTGATCACTGGAGGGTTGTCTGATCCTCCAGTCAGACAACCACAGTAATATGCACAGTTAGATGTTTAAGTTAGTTCATGACAGGAACAAGACTCTGAAGAACAACATGATAACATTGATCTTCTTTTCTTACAGGGGCTCAAGAGAGACAAGAGCGAGAGAGAGAACGAGCAAGACAAGAACGAGAGAGAGAAGAGCGAGAGAGAGAACGAGCAAGACAAGAACGAGAGAGACAAGAACGAGAGAGACAAGAACGAGAGAGACAAGAACGAGAGAGAGAACGAGCAAGACAAGAACGAGAGAGACAAGAACGAGAGAGACAAGAACGAGAGAGACAAGAAAGAGAGAAAGAAGAGCGAGAGAGAGAACAAGCAAGACAAGAACGAGAGAGAGAAGAGCGAGACAGACAAGAAAGAGAGAGACAAGAACGAGAGAGACAAGAACGGGAGAGACAAGAACGAGAGAGACAAGAAA